GAGAACCATCAGGATTGAGGGTCTCTCTGGCGGGGGGCTCCATCTATTGGTGGGGAGCGGCACCTGCTGGAAAACAGGTCCAGCACTCCTTACATGGGCAGAATTCGAACCATATCATCTGTCTTCATACTCTCATTATGCACATTTCCTTTTTTTTTTCATATAAAAGAGCGACGGCCTTGAGATATCGTCTTTGAAGTTTGAACTGACCGGCCCCAGTTAATTCAGAATGATTTTATTCTGTTCATCTGACAGTATCTGGATTGGAACTTGGGTCTGTATTTCAACAGTTCATGTATGTACAAACTGAGCTAGGCCACTTGGTGTTTTATGCACATTTCCTTCCACGATCTTTGCTGTGAATTTTCCTATAAGATTTGTTCATAGCACGGGCTTTGCTGTTGCCAGAAAAACAAAACAAGACTGATCAACAGGAAATGAGAGTACGCACTTCTTCTGGTGATAGTGCGCACCCTGCTGCCCCTGTTTTCCGTTTTTCTGCTTGTCTGCTTTCCAGAATTTTGAGCTCTCGGATCTCCCGTTTTCTGAACCTCCCACTCGTTGCTTTCCCCATATCTCGAGCTGCGCGCACAATTGAGCACCCTACTGGAAGTATATATAATCGAGGTAGGCGAGGGCAGAGGTCTCTCCTTTTTTTGCCGTCATATGTGAGGTGTGCGCTCTGGCACTTCGAGGAGTGCGCGCTGAGGCTTCCTTGAGCGTGCGCTAGGGCTAGCCGTGGTTGGGATTCGTTGATGGCTATGATCGGCCAGACTTGTCAGAAAGACGGGCAAGGAAAGATGGCGTGAGGAAGAGAAGAGAGGGAGAAGGGGAAGAATGGGTTGATTGATGATGGAGCAATTCGCAGCTATAAAGGATGAAGGTGGGAAGACGTTCCCATCATTTTTGACTTACCCTCCTGAAGAGACTTGTCACACACAAGTCGAAACCGGTAGAGGGGTTGCGTGATTTTTGTGAGTCGTTTTTGGTGAAGCTAATGGGCTTTGTCCTCCACATTGAGCAGTTGTGTGTACTGTTCGCTCACCCCTGGCTTCTTCTTCTCAGTGGCAGTTGAACATCATGGTGGGCGGTGGGAGTGCAGTGGCTGGACGCATGAGATTTGCGGCATGTAGTGTTGGCTAAATAGCGCTAGGGCAGATGTTGCCCACATAAGTGGGGTTTACAAAAGGAACTCAACGATGTTGACAGCAACCGTTTTCAGCAGAGAGGCTGAGAGAGGAGAAGCGGTTAACCCCGAATTTTGGGCCTTCCATTAACCGCTAGTGTGAGAGAGCCTCTGCAAATGACAAGCTTAACCATCTTTGAGATGCAAATATGAAAGAAAGGACAAGAATCTGCAGGCCGGACATGTCGCTAGGTGTGGAACTGGGTGAAACAGGGGCACGAGGATACTCCTACCGTCTTCCTCCGAACACAACGCACCCTTATTTTGGCTGTATCTGGCCGGAAATATAGCTTGTATACATTCATTTTTAGGGTGCATTGTGTTCGGGGGAAGACGGTAGTAAAAGGTTTGTGGCGACTCTGGCGAGTATTGCATAAGATGACGCTTTCGCTTTTGCTTCCAGATGTGGAGGGCTTCGACCACTAGGGCGGTTGAGCACTTCTTTTGAAAGTGTAAAAGAGGTGCACTTTCCAAACAGGGGATATCGTGCACGAGCTGGTCGTTGTTGCCGGAAAGGTGAACCCCAACCGTGAGCATTCCCAGTGATTGTTGAAAAACTAAGGAGGGCAGCTAGAAATTTAGGAAGGGGGGCTGAAGACGCACTCCCCACTGCATTTTCTCCATTTGAACTGTGTAACATGGTTTTTTCAACTGCAAAAGGGGACGCTGGCCGGGCCCGTTTCCCAACAGGTGCAGCTCCCCACCGGTAGATGGAGCCTCCCCGGGAAAGCCTGAGGCAGGTGCTCCTACCAGAACCTCAAGCTCTTTACAGGGCTGTTGGCTTAAAAAAAATAAATAAAGGGGGAGGAGGNGGGGGGGGGGGGGGGGGGTGATGATGCTACAGCCTACAGGGCCTGGAATGGAGGAGGAGCATGTTGCTGCTTTACGGTGACACAAGCATTGCTTGAGTGAGCAATTCAAAGTAGTCTTACAAAGGGTGCAGGTGGAGATGAGGGGGAAGGTGATGGGGAGGGGAGGGGTATGCATACAAGTGTCCAGCAAGCATCCAACCACAATCCAGAATCAGGTGGACAACGAAGCATAAAACAATCTGGATATTGCATGAGTAGAGGCGATGCTCTATGCAGGTATTGTGTTCATCTTCCTCAATGTCCACATAAGGAAGATACTACATGTGAAAGGATTTTCACTTTGCAGACCCCAAATCCGAGTTCCAGCGTCAAACTCCCCAAATCGAAAGAGGCCAAAGAGGCCGAAACAGGAAAAGGGGAAGAGCGTGTGTGTGTCTGACATGTATTTACTATTGACTTGCCGGTGGAAGAGGAACCGGACTGATGCTCCCCAGAATGGAAAAGGAGCCAGAACTCTAAGGTTCTGCTTTTCAAAAAAAAAAAAAAAAAAAGGAAAAGGTCGCCTTGGGTACCCCTCAGGCCAGAAAATTCAAAATTCAACCGGTACCCGGCCTCAAAGTAAGTCCCACAGTCCAAATGCAGCAGCGCTCCAAGAAAAGTCTGGACCGTACCGGGCCTCAAATTTCCAAACTGCAAACAGGCCGTGGCGACCAGTACCAGTCAAAGGCAGGCCCAGACAAGTGAAGTCAAGGCCCACTCCAGTCAACATAGAAGTACTCGCTCAGCGCCATTCAGACAGATTTTTCACTCGTGAGAAGGTGGAAGCGTTGTTAGCTGCTTGTGCGCTATCACTGGTTGACTGTGCACTAGAGAGCCCCGCTGGGCGGCGCTAAGCCGTGAAGACAGGCAGGCACTGCTGCTGTAGTGGTAGTAGTAGTATTAGAACGCAAGTGGGAAGGCGGACGTATCCAGGGTACGATCCTCATAGTAGAAGAGGTTGAGAGTTCAAGAGAGTTCAAAAGAGGGGGGGAGAGAGAGAGAGAGAGCTACTGACCGGCATGCGACCGAACCGAAGCTGACGTAGTGAGGAGCTCGAAGTCTTCAAAAATGATCCTTCAGGTTAGCGGGCACGGCGTCCTGTCTGCGTTGTCAAATAATTTTTGAGGTCCTTGCTGGCTGACCTTGAACTGCTGGTTGCCAACCAGCTGCTAGGAGAGTTGTAGTGACACTGTGGGAAGGAAAATTAGGTCAGACATAATCTAGCTCAGGATAAGTATAGATTGAGTGTTGAGGTGTACGTCTACGTGGTGAGGAGGTGGAGTCTACATACCTGTGCCTTTTTTCCACCATGGATGGCTACCCCATGTTCATTTTTTTGGTCCTATCTGTTATATGGGGGCCGTTGCTCTGACTTTTCTTCGCTCTTGCATTTCACAAAACAAGTAGAATGTGTACAACCACGAAGTCCAGTAGAACAACGCAGCCCTTTACCGCTAAGCAGCAGACAGAAATTGACAGGAGGCTGACAGAAAGAAGCAAGGAGGAGGAGGAGAAAAAAAGGAGGAGGACAAACAACATAAAAAGAAAACTAGAAGAGGGTATGAAGCGAATGGAGGAAGAGAGGAAGAGGTTAGAAGAAGAAATGAAGAAGAAAGAAGAAAAGTTGCAAAGGAGTTGGAAGTTGAAGAGGAGGAAGGAGAAGAAGAAGCGGCTGAGTTAATAAGAATAAGAGAAAGGAGAAGTGAGAAAAGTTGTACAGATTAGCCAGGCTGGACAGTCGAGAATTCAGCAAGTGGAGGATGAGGACTGAGTGGAAAAAGTCGGATATCGCATTGAGATGTCGGAAGAATCCAAGGAGGAGAGGGATGTTTTTGTGGCAAGGTTGGCAACTGTTGCTGATGAGGAGAGAGCACTGTTCATTGAAGAGAGGAGAAGTGTCCTTAATGGGCGACTTTTGACCCAAACAAGAAAGGAATTTGATGAGAAGAAAAGGATGAAGGGGGAGGGGGGAAATCTCTAGCGGATGCTAAGGGAGCAGAAAGGGAAAGAAATTGAAATGAGAGAGAGTTTGACCCTCCTTACCGATACCTTGCTGCACACCACTCAGGAACTCAATGCGATTCATAAATTTGTAGGGAGAATTGAAGGCCACCAGGAAGAATTATAAAGTACTTGGAACAAATTTCTCTACCCATTCTCCCATAAAATTGACAACGAAATGATTGATTACGCCCGCCAATTAGACGAAATCTTCACACAAAAGTTGAC